TGACATGACACGTCATGAATATGAAGGAGGTTTTATGCATGTCTATGACAACAGTCATTAAGTGTCATTTGCTCAGCTATGACATTTTTAATGGCAAATAGGACATTGTTTGAGATGTCTTTGTTATGACTCCTGGACTGGACATTACCAAGACAACATAAATTGCCATAAATATGTCATAAACATGACAAAGCAGATCAAACTTAAGAAATCACTTAGCTTTATGGGTTAGTAAACTGTCATGTGGTTGTGATGTTTTTGTCTATGTCAAGTTGTCATAACAAAGACATCTCAAACAATATCATATTTGCATTAAAAATGTCATAATTTACTGAATGACACTTAATGACAGTTGTCATAAACATGCATAAAACCTCCTTCATGAAAACAAATATAATTAGAGAAAAAAATGGCTGTATTTTTTTTATTTGGCAATACCTTCTATGATGAAGACCATGCTTATACTGAATTGTAGCTCCATTTATACAAATTTATCATAAGTTTTTAATTTATGAATACATTTATAAAGACTCATTAAGACATATTCTGCAGTATAAGAGCAGTTATAGTCACATTTATATTATTTTTATAATTATTTATAAATCATGCATTTCCTTTTCAATTTGCATGCTCATAATTTATTATACACTTTATAAGTTATAATAATGTATTAGTCAATCGTATGCTTCCATGAATGTATTTATGAAAATGCATTGCTATGATGTTATGTTGTAGTTGCAATGACTTTTTAGTAACTCTAAAGATTTATTTTAGATTTATTCGCTTCAAATAAGTGAATATATTGTTATAGCTGTGTTGTTCTTAATAAATACTTGAAAACATAGGATGCCATTTTCCTAAGGTTAAGAAATCATGAAGATGTGTTCATTATACATTTAAAGTTATTTGTAAATGTTACTAATGAACAATAATATTATAATACTAATGTTTAATAGTATAACACTAATAATTACTAATGTATAATACTAATGAACAACTCCTGTGTTAAAATAATAAATAAATAAACAGAAATCTTTAAAAAGGAAAGGGAAATTGTAACAAAGGAAACATTTTGCTGTTACGTAAAAAAGTATTGTAGACAACTTGTAGTAAGGTGAAGAAATTGTATACTGTACAACTTGTGCACTTGCAAGTACGGTATTGTACTGAATATTGTATAGTATTTAATATCTGTATCTGTACCGATAGAGATCTGCACTTGCAAGATGTGAAAATACAGTGACACAACAGCCAAAAGGGTTAAAAGGGTTATCACTCTGAGTTGTGCAACTAGGTCAGTGAGAGGTTGATTCTGCTTCAGCATCACGTCTTCATGTTGGTCCGGCCGGAGGAGTGTGTCCACACATCTCAGACACTGTCATCTCTGCAGCCAAAGGGGAAAACCCTAAAGAAGATCCAGCCTTGACAACATTCTTCACACCTTCCTCTTCCTCCTCTCCCTTATATTGTTTCCATCCATTGTTGGGATTCAACATCAGTGGTCAACATTTTGAGTCCATTTTTGCACTCTGAACTGACCTGTGTTACAGTTGGTTTGGTCACATCATTAGTAATAAGTGTGAACAATTTTGAGTCATTGAGTGTAAACAATGACTATGTTGTATGTTGTTTAACTTTTGCCTGCCTGTGTTTAGCATTTTGAAACATGTGCATCACAGTGCAAAATGAGAAGTTTTGCAAAAAGAGTGCATGAAATTTGCAAATGGTGTCTTAGTAACTACAACCTGTGTGATGTTTTACAGACATTTCGGGTCACAGAGTGATTTATTCAACAAATTGGTTTATTTATTGAGAATTTGGTTCAGAGAGTGGGATTTAGTGTTTTAGTAATTCAGAAAACTTTTAATTTAGAATTTGCAGTGACAATACATTCAAAGTGATTTTACAGTGTTTTTAAATGTGAGTCGAAACTATAATTTTAATAGTGGACCATAATATTTGACACACTCAATTTAGGTATGTTTGGGATGTTTAACAAAATTATAAACCCTAATATGTAAGTTTGACAAAAGACTGAAAATCCATCCAAATTCATTTAGGAAAGGGAAAACATTTAACAACATTGTAAGTATGCCGAATGTACCAAGAGGAAGCGACACAACTTGTTAAATTCAAATGACACACTTTCCCATTAAAAATAGCACTACAAATGAGTTTGTGATTTGCTGGGGGTGGTGTATTGGTGTCCCAATTAAGTGTTCCAAATCCACAAAGGTCTCTGACATGCAGTTGAAGACTAAGTCAGTGAAACATGATTCTGACCCAAAAATGGACTGAAAAAAATATATTTATTCAAAAAATAAAAGGTAACACTTTTTATAAAGACCATGTTTATAATAAATTATAGCCTATAAGTATTACCCTTCTATAAATATATTTATAAAGACTCACTAAGACCTTTTTGCATTAATAATTATTTATATTATTTCTATAATTACTAAGGAGTACTTAGGTATTGAAGTTTTTTCTGGAAAGCGCCTTGTGCACCTTTTGGCTGTTGTAAGGCCTCTACAAATAAAATTTGATTGATTTGACTGATGTCATGCATTTGCTTTTTCAATGCACATGATCACCCACACTTGACTGAAGTTACGTCCTGCTCCTGCTAGCACAGAAGTCACTTCCTTCTGACATCTTCAACTGAGGGCAGAGCTGCATGGTTCAGACCTGTTGACTTCAAGTGGGCACCCCACTTTACCGGTGTTTCGTCAACTAGCCCACGACACCTCCATGAGGCTTGACAGCAGAGCCAACGTCCGTCCTGGAACTGCTCCCTCGGTCATTCAGGACTATCCCACTCCGCTCTGACCCCCGCCCTCTCTGCCAGCCTCGTTTAGCCACCGCTCACTCCTCTTCAACTACAGCCATCTGGATGCTGTCTCTGCCTGCTTTGTCATCTTGTTTACTAGGTTCTTGCGGGTTGCCCCTCTCTCCCAAGTGTCCCCAATGCTCTCCAAAATGAGTCCTGGGAACCCCTGCAACCCACCTCCACCGGTAGATTCCAGGCTCTCCAACCCGTCTGCTGGCTCTCAGAGATGAGGCACTGATACTTCCCTAACTTGCGTTTGTGTGCCTCCTCAATCTTTTCCTCCCGTCAGCTCTATGAAGGCCACCTGTCTTGTTGCCTGGCACGATGTCTGGCCGGAGGCCTTCTCCCCAGGCCTGAGGAAGCAAATGAAACGGGGACCTCTATCTTGGGCCTTGGTTCTTTTCCGCTTCCTCTCCTTTTCCAGTCCATCAGCCAGCTGTGCGAACGGAGCACCTGATCATGGCGCCACCTGAACCTCCCTTCAGTCAGGCCTGCCCAACAGGACGACAGAATGTGCTCCAGGTTTGCCGGTCTCTTGCACAGCGCACAGGAGGGATCCTCTGTCAGTCTCCAACTTTGTCAATCCATTATACACTGTTTTATAAATGATCAATAGTTCCAGAGACACTTGTTTGCTGTACCAATAGTTATCAATTATGTCTTTGATGGCTAATGTTTGCATTAGAGGTGATGAATGCTACAGTAATTTCAACGCATTCTCACCCCAAGGCGTCATCTTTGACCATGCT